ACACTAGGCTTACTTGATTGTGTTATTTATTATGTATCGTTTACAGGGGAATATAAGAAAAGTATTAGCAACAGTTTCATGCAAACATTTTGAAACTGATATTTCTAAGTAATGACCTATCTGGGAACCACTGTGCACTGACAAGATTTCAGTCGTGACCGATTTTAATCGGGCGATATTAGTCGTACGCAACGCTGCTTGCAACGTCTTTGGTCGGCAGTCGGCAGTTACTTCTTCCACTGACACACATTTTCTGTAATTTCTAATTTGTATCTCGTTTGGAAATATACTGCCGCACCATATTACATAGGAGGTTAAAGCTATCTTTCGACATGCGGTACATAGTTTTGAACTTGTCGTTGTGGTATGCCAATTCACGAGCGCAAATGAAAGCACCTCTGTTTTGATTTTCCGCTATGTACAGGGTGTCCCACTAAAAATAGCTCTCGGCTATATCTCGGAAAGTATTAGCAGTAGCGGCTGCGGAAAAAAATATTTATAACTAAAGAGGCTATGGGAAATTGCTAGGAATTACTTGCAAGTTTGTAGAACGACCGCTAGGGGGCGCAACTGCAACAAAAAATAAGAAAATGGAGTTTTTACACAATTTTGCCTAGATAAGGTGTACTATAAGTAACAGCTTCATAATCTTCAGTAAATTCTGAATATTTTTTGTTAGAGCCATTTTCCCTAATCTATCTACCAAAATAATGTGGTGGAAGAAGGTTAGATCTGTTTTTATTTGAATATTAATAACTCTGGACTGGATGATCGGAATCCAACAAGCGAGGGCTCGTTTAAAAGAGCGTTTCTTACTCTATATTGTACCGTATAAACAATAATAATAAGCTTTTGAAAGTAGACGCTAGCGCGTTTTTTCCAAAAAATTAAATGCAATAGTATATGTAATTTTAGCTGATAGTAAAGAGTAGTAAAAACTTTAAAAGTCGGCAAAAAAAGCGCATCTTGATATCTTCTTTCAAACCGAAGATATTAGCAAAATTATAATAAATACCAAAAAATAAGGCCTTAATTACCTTATTTTTACAACACGGTATAGTAGCCCTTTTGATTATGTCCATTCTAACCTAAAAATAAGATAGAAACAGTTAGTTTATTTTAAAATCGACGATATACCAGAATATCATAATATCAGATGTATTAATATCTAATAATTAAGATATTAATAATAGTGAAAAAGAAACGATGATTCAGTGAAGTAATGGGCTTTGGAAAAAAGTTGCTTTTTACGTAATAGTATAAACGTCAAATTGTTATTAGATCAACATTTTGATAGTCTTAGCAGCGTTTTTTATCTTTTGATTGCTTTTTCAAAATGCCCCAACAAGTTCAACTACTTCAAATAATAAAGGCATTTTGAAAAAGCATTTAAAAGATAAAAAAAACGCTGCTAAAACTATCAAAATGTTGATCTAATAACAATTTGACGTTTACACTATTACGCGAAAAGGAACTTTTTTCCAAAGCCTACCACGACTTCACTGAATCATCGTTTCTTGTTCACTATTATTAACATCTTAATTATCAGATATTAATACATTTGGTATTATGGTATTCTGGTATTTCGGCGATTTTAAAATAAACTAACTGTTTCTTTCTTATTTTTTTGTTAGAATGGGCCTAATCAAGAGGGCTACTGATACTGTATTGTAAAAATAAGGTAATTAACGGCTTATTTTTTGGTATTTATTTTAATTTTGCTAATATCTTCGGTTTAAAAGAAGATATGAAGATGCGGTATTCGCTGACTTTTTAAGCTTTTACTACTCTTTACTATCAGCTAAAGAAACACATACTATCGTATTTAATTTTTTTGAAACAACGCTCTATGTTTGTTAAATTGTAAGAAAGCGCCCCCTAGCGTATACGTTCAAAACCTTATTATTATTATTATTATTTTTATTATATTATTATTATATATTTTCGGTCGGAACGACCACAATCGATCGAATCGATCTGGATCAGGACGATTATGGTCGGTCCGATTTGGTGAGAATCCGGCCTTGCATTTAATTTTGTCGTCCGATCGTAAGAAAGTTGATGTCGTCCGATTGCGACCAAATTTGGTGGGTAGGCGACGTGCACACAGGGTGTACAGATAGACAGACGGATAGACGGACAGAGAAGGACGGACGAACAGACAGGCGGACAGAAATTTCACTTGTTCACAAATATGGGCACAGTGCACACACAATTTTTTTTCATGTTGAAATAGGTTTTTTAACTTTCCAAAATAATAGGAGTCGATTTTTCGGAAATATGAGAAATAAGAGGGGAGATTCCTCAAGTAAAAATAAGATTTTTCATATTAAAATGCGTCCGATTCTGGTTTGTTTCGTAGCTACAGGAGGTTAAAGTCTTCATTTTTTTTTTCAATTTATTATAATTTTCTTCCAAGTTCTTTTAGTGATTCGAGAGTTGGTGTTGTTTTTTTGTATTAATAAACTTCGTTAAATAAATTAGCAATACGAATTATAAATACTGGATGTTGTATGATTAAAAAAAAAGTTCAAAAATTAATTATTGACGTAGTGTTCGTTTCTAGCCTTGATTATTTTACTGTTGTCACTGTTGTATTGTGTCTGAGAAATAAAGCAAAATTTGAACCTATTGACCGTTCGACATTGAATAATGTTGACTGATTTCGATACTAAGGATTGAAATTTCACGGTGCGTACAGTATTCTATCAGCAATTCACATAGCCGCATGCGATCATTTAAATTCGGCATTTCAGTATTAATCCCCGAAAATTCGTAAATTATAATTGAATGGCGCTGAAAATTAAATTTTTGCAGAAATTAACGTACTTTACGTGATTCCTCCATTTTTTTTAGTTTTTTGCTAAAAATATATATAGAGATGGAGATTAAAATAAACTAACTGTTTCTAACTTATTTTTTTGTTAGAATGGGCCTAATCAAGAGAGGGCTACTGATACTGTATTGTAAAAATAAGGTAATTAACGGCTTAATTTTTGGTATATATTTTAATTTTGCTAATATCTTCGGTTTAAAAGAAGATATCAAGATGCGGTTTTCGCTGACTTTTTAAGCTTTTACTACTCTTTACTATCAGCTAAAATAACACATACTATCGTATTTAATTTTTTTGAAAAAACGCGCTATGTTTGTTAAATTGTAAGAAAGCGCCCCCTAGCGTCTACGTTCAAAACCTTATTATTATTATTATTATTATTATTTTTATGGTATAATATAGAGTAAGAAACGCTCTTTTAAACAAGCCCTAGTTTGTTGGATTCTGATCATCCAGTCCGGAGTTATTAACATTTAAATAAAGATAGATCTAACCTTCCCCCACCACTTTATTTTAGGAGATAGGGGAAAATGGTTCTAACAAAAAAATCCAAAATTTACTGAAGATTATGAAGCTATTATTTATAGTACCCATTATCTAGGCAAAATTCTGTAAAAAAACTATTTTCTTATTTTCCATAGCAGTTGCGCCACCTAGCGGCCGTTTTACAAACTTGAAAATAATTTCCAGCAATTTCTCATAGCCCCTTTAGTTGTAAATATTTTTTTTTTCCGTAAGCCCTACGGCTAATACTTTCCGAGGTACAGCCGAGAGCTATTCTTAGTGGGACACCCGGTACGGATGTACCCAAAACCGGCGACGACGGCGGCGTCTTCGTCTTATATACGCGAGTGCTACAACAACTTTGTCTTCACTTGACGACATCTTGGAGGAGACTAAGTATCTCAACTTTAAAATAAATCTGACCATAATCGTCCCGATGCAATCCGATGAACACATTCAATCGATTTCGGTCAGAACGACCACAATCGATCGAATCGATCTGGATCAGGACGATTATGGTCGGTCCGATTTGGTGAGAATCCGGCCTTACATTTAATTTTGTCGTCCGATCGTAAGAAAGTTGATATCGTCCGATTGCGACCAAATTTGGTGGGTAGGCTATGTAAGCGACGTGCACACAGGGTGTACAGATAGACAGACGGATAGACGGACAGAGAAGGACGGACGAACAGACAGGCGGACAGAAATTTCACTTGTTCACAAATATGGGCATATAGTGCACACACAATTTTTTTTCATGTTGAAATAGGTTTTTTAACTTTGTAAAATTATAGGAGTCGATTTCAGAAATAAGAGAAATAAGAGGGGAGATTCCTCACGTAAAAATAAGATTTTGCATATTAAAATGGGTCCGATTCTGGTTTGTTTCGTAGCTACAGGAGGTTAAAGTCTTCATTTTTTTTTCAATTTATTATAATTTTCTTCCAAGTTCTTTTAGTGATTCGAGAGTTGGTGTTGTTTTTTGTATTAATAAACTTCGTTAAATAAATTAGCAATACGAATTATGAATACTGGATGTTGTATGATTAAAAAAAAAGTTCAAAAATTAATTATTGACGTAGTGTTCGTTTCTAACTTTGATTATTTTACTGTTGTCACTGTTGTATTGTGTCTGAGAAATAAAGCAAAATTTGAACCTATTGACCGTTCGACATTGAATAATGTTGACTGATTTCGATACTAAGGATTGAAATTTCACGGTGCGTACAGTATTCTATCAGCAATTCACATAGCCGCATGCGATCATTTAAATTCGGCCATTTCAGTATTAATCCCCGAAAATTCGTAAATTATAATTGAATGGCGCTGAAAATGAAATTTTTGCAGAAATTAACGTACTTTACGTGATTCCTCCATTTTTTTTTAGTTTTTTGCTAAAAATATATATATAGATGGAGATAAGGATAAAACATAAATTATTTTTTTTTTAGTTTTAGGGCATTTTGCAAAATTTACTTAAAAATTTTGGGCTACTGAAACAAGTTGTGTGCTAATACAAAAAATATACCAAGCAAATTCAGATTTTTTTGCTTATACAAACCAGTAAAAATAAAATCCAAAAGAAACAATCACTAAAATTTCTATTTAATTTTCTAACATTAAAACAAAATTATATATTATATTACATAAATATTCTTACCTTTTCAGAAGTATGATACTTTTTGGCGATCAAACTTTTATGCGGATTCATCTAAAAAGAAGAATATTACTTTTAATGTATTTTATCAAATATCACGTCACAGAAGTGATAATAAGAAATAATCATTTCCTTGATGTTCATGTTCTTGTAATTATTTAAAAAGATTATATTAGACAGTAGCAAAATGATACCCACAAAAGTTTTTCACGAGTCGTTTCAGCAAACTCAACGACGATAAAAATCAAATTCAGTATAATGTAGATATGCTGAGTGGTGCATCGTCGTTAAGCCCCATACTCACACTTCGCTACTTCACTTCCTTCCTTCGTCGCGTCCCTTCGTGACCAACATGAGGTATGTAGGTCGTTGGCCGTATAGTAAAATTAAAAAATATGTTTGAAAATTCGCAACCGTCCTATTTGTTAAATGTGTTCCGTGATTGTTTTTTATAAAGTTTCTTTCTATGATCTACGTTCTTGGACTCTGATGAAGGCCAAAAAAATGGTCGAAACCAAAGACATTATAAAGCTAGACCGAACATCTCATTCATAAATACTCGTTGGTAGTGTATCAAACATTCCAATGTGTCAAACAAGGACAGAAGAGACAGAGATGTCTAAAATTTCCGACCCCGGCAACTAGGCGCATTTGAATTGTTCTAATGGCCAGTGGCGTATCGTTTTTTGGAACGAATTTAATTAGTAAAGTAAAAGTAAAGTAATTAGTAAAATTTTTACTCCATATTAATATACTATATTAACACTTTTTCGTCAGATGACTTTTGTTATAAGGTCTAATATAATAATATAATTAATATCCCACATATATACTTATGTTGAAACGTTAGTAGTTTTCGAAAATCGCTCCAACGTCGATTTTCAATTTAAACTTTCAGCACAGTTTGAAGAATATAAATATTTTCAGTTACTTCTATATAAACTTTCAGTTACTTGAATATTTACAGGGTGACTCAAGATGCCGAAACAGTTCTATATTAGGTTTCAATGGTTGGTGACTTTTCTTTCATTTTTTTTTAGAATATGGAGGCAATGGTAAAGCACATTTGAGATATTTTTGTAAACATAGGTGGCCGGAACATATTTTCAAAATAAAGTTATAGATTTGCCATTAAATTTCCATTCCAGAAATACCTAGGGTTGTCACCTGTCCTTTTTTGAAAAGGACAGTCCTTGTTTGGAATAACTTGTCCTTTTGACTTTTTTTGACTTAAAAAGTCATTTTTGTTTACGTATTTTCCCTGAGAAAATTACCTACAGCAAACAGAAATATTCTTTTCGTGCTAATTTAATTCGAGATGTTATAAAACTTATAAATTAATTTTTCTTGTTTAGAATAGGCAACATTATTTAGAACTTCCCGTTTAATCTCAAATGACAGTTTAGGTTTTAGTTTTACCTTTTTTGATCTTAAAAAGAACTTTTCAAAATTAGTAAATAGTAACTATTTAGTTAGTTCGCAATCGATAGACACCCCCGCCCCCCCATACATACACAAGACAACATAAAGTACGTTGTCATTTTATAATTTTGTCAATGTCAAATTATTATTTTCTAAACTATTAAATATATTTTTTTCTCGCTTCCTTTTAGAAGGAGTATTTTGTATTTTTTAGGTATATGAGAGCTAAAGAGCTAAAAAATAAATATTTTTGGATTTTTTTTTGTATTTATAGTATTTAAATAAATATATTTAACGGTTTTGCAGATTATTCGAAATGTTTTATTACTTCTGCACCCTTATACAAACTTATACTAAGAGACAAAACTAAAAACCATTAGATGGATCTGAAAAAATACTTATAACTATGCAGGGTAAGTATTTTTAGGGGTAGTATGTTTCGACCTCAGAAACAAGTCTACAAGATTTTTTTTGGCAAAAAAAATTGAAAATTTGCAATTTTTTTTACTTGTTAGTGGCATTTTCTCGTATAAATAATTAGAAATATAGGTCATGTAGGAAGTGGCAATACTGCATCCCTTTTAGTAATGTAACCATGGTAATATCAGAGATTAAAAAATTATACCGTGGGGGAAATTTTGCGGTGAACAGACAGTTCTAAAAATATACAGGGAAATTTAAAAGAAAGAAATTTAAACTAATGCTGAGAAATTATGTAATAGATAACAGCCATGAAAATACTTGCATTTATTAAGACTCGCCCTGTATTGTATTGTAGTCAAACTACTAACTCCCAAGTTATCCTAATAACAGAAATAAATCACTAAATAACTAAATATTAAACGACTAAAAGCGCCAAAGACAAAAATAACTTAATTAACTTAATGGATATCACTTCCCAGTTTTGCTGTAACAGCAGAAATAAATAATTAATTAACAAAACATTGAGCGATTAACAGAGCCAAAGACAAAAATATCTTCGCCTTCGGCTCTCAAAAACATAGTGCTTTCTGTCACAACAGTTTCTTCACAATAGTTCCGTCACAATGATATTTATACTAACACAAAATATTTGATCTAAATTCTGTTTTAGCCGTTCTTTTTCTTCTAATAAATTTACTATTTTTTTGACTCTGTTATTAGTAAAATCTACATATTTTTTAATGTAAATATTACTATGTTCCAATTCAACTACAACATTGAACATAGGATTTTCAACGGTAAAATACCTGACAAAGATCATTAGGTGGCTTTGATAAAAAACACAGACTAATCTAAATTACTGTTGAAAGAGCCATATCTAATATAATACAGTGAATATTTACAAAAGCGTTACAAATTTAGGTACACTTTAAATACAAAAAATGTTCACTTTTTAATTCTGCGTCGGAAAGAAAACTAATATACAGGGTGTTGCATTTAAAAAATTGAGATATAGCATTTAAATATTGCAATGTTGGCGACATCATAAAAATTACAGTGTATAAGAAATGTAAATTTTCCTCGCGAGTTTATTCTGTTATCCTTGGTGTTTAGGAAACTGTATATAGTGTTTTTTGGATATAGTGTTTCTAACCAAAGTTTAAGTAAATATGAACTAGAATGGTAACACCGCATAATGCTGGAAATAAAACTAGCGTACTATAGCAGAATATTATGCTGAATCCAAATCTATAGGGAAAAATGTGGGGTGCAATTTAAAAAACTTAAAACTTTATATAATATGATATGCTCCTTTATAAATCATGCAACATCTGTAAGTATAAATCTAATTTTTTTCATATCTTTGACAACGACGACGATATTGGATTTCCTCGCACTAGAATGTAGAATTTTTAGGAGGGGAGTTTATCACCGCGACCTTACAGATCTATTGTGTGTTCCCCTTTCTTGAGTTATAACGAGTTATAACTCATCATACAGTCTCAGGGCTTTAACAAAAGCTAGTATCTGAGAACAAAGTAGTAAGAGAACAATATCTTTAACAAAAGCCAATATCCTCGCACTATGTCTACATTTTGTTGACTCTAGCGAGAATTCTACATATCTACTATACTATCTTTGCGCGTGCCACGTAATAATGTATATAAAAATTAGATTACTGTCCTATAAAGTGTCAATTCGATTTCCAAGGTTGGGTATATTTAAAAAAAATCTAGAGATTTTGGATATTAAAGATCAAAATTGGAAAGGACCGTGTAGAATTTTTCCTGCGCTGTGTAATGGTATAAAAATATTAAATGGCGTCCATAAGAAAACAGAAACTTGATTTTTGCGAAATCTAGAAGGCTTAGAAAATTTCAATAAAACGGCATTTAATTGACTGTGTTCAAAAAAGTAAAACTATCAATTTACGCTACAATAGATATGTTATGGTTAAAGTTCGAAATGAGTAAATATGAGTTAATATCAACATTAATAAGTTAACGTTCGGGTTTGATTTTGTTTTATAACATTATATCGAGATTAACCTGATAATATTGAAACTAACTTTATTTCGGACCTAATAAAATATAAAATATAACAGATACAATAGCTTTGAAAATATTGTCGTTTATAATAAAAGTAGTTTTTCATTTTTTGGTATAAATCGGAAACTAATCAAGATATCGGGGTTTTCTTTGCAGGCGTTTGTCAAACTTCTAATAACGCAACGTTTTTTTCATTTAACCGAATTCCTATATTTTATAGTTTCCGAAACACCAATGTCGAGCCTCGAAATTGCCACCACCCTGAATATGAAATATTGAATTACATAAAAGGGTTATACAGGGTGAGTTTCCTACGATGTTCCCTATATGGGTATCTCGGAAACTACTGGAGATAGGGAGTCGGTTAAATGGGGAAAGAATTGCAGTTTTGTGGGGTCATAAATATACGCCTTTCAGATTTTTGAAAAAGTTCATGGCTTACTAGATATTTCGAAAAAAACAAATTTTAGCTATTTTAAAAATTGTCCCTAATTCCATTATAATCTATTTTAGACAAAAAGTTTTCAGATAAAATTTGTAGATAATCGCATCCTTAATGCGCTTGTGTTCTCCGATTTTTTTCTAAAGCGTGTCATTTTTGACATATTACACAAACATACGTTTTTTTAAATGGAAACCATAGTTAGCCATGACTTCATGAAAAGCGCCATTTTTTAAGCTTTTCAGCGATATAAGCTATAATATGTCTTTTTCACAAAATTACTGAGTTATAGCCGATTCTTATCTTTCTTGACTAATTTCACTTAGTTAGACACGGAAACAAATTCATCCAAACCAGAGAATAGGTACATTAAAGAAATGCTAACTTCATGTTAAAAAATGGAAACAGACGCCACCTGGTGTCGCCTGGCAGTACTAGCGAAATTGAGGGGAATTGGAGGGGCGGGGCTTAAAAGAGGGGAAATTTTTAAAAAAATATTTTTATAAGAATCACTGACTTACTGTTTAAAGTTAATAAACATATTTTATTACTTTAATATAATTTAATGTATTAAAAATATGTTTATTAACTTTACACAGCAAATCAATATTATTAAAAGGCTTATTATTTTCAGTTCATAATTCATAGTAAATAAATTACACATTAGTAAACAATATCATTTATTTTTTTAGAGCTGCGATTTATATTACAATAATATTGAAATATATATATATATATATATATATATATATATATATATATATATATATATATATATATATATATATATATATATATATATATATATATATATATATATATATATATATATATATATATATATATTAACAATGAAAAAGAATATCCCGGAACCTGAAAAAGAAAGATGATCAATTAATGACTTAAATTAGTTCAAAATACATTTTGCAAATAACTAGTGAATTGGACAGATAAACATACTATTAAAAAGACATTTTAGTAGTATATTATCATCTATTTACTGATAATACATAAGTATATAATAGGTAAATAACATGCATAAGGCACTATGATACAACTACCTGTATCATGATAACACACTAACATCACAAAAAATATATGCTAATTTAAATTTCTTTAATGGTCTAATGAAACACTATCTAGCCTCAATGCATGCCATTCCAAAGGCAAAAAAAACTGTTATACCAAATAAATATAAGCTGAATAAAACATAAACCAAGCCAATGTGCATAAACAACCAAAAAATGCATCAAAAAATACTTTTATCAGATCATGCCCTTGGATATATTATGTATTTTATATATCGCACATCCCGTTCAAAAGTTTACTAACTCAAAATAGAGAATATAGAGAACATTGTCAGGAGAAGTAAAAGAAAATTTAAGTTAACGCAATATGCTCCTTTTTGCATATTAATGGCCAAATAATGTAATGTTGATTTAATAAAAATTTAACTGGCATCCTTCTGAGGTATAAATCAGATTAAAAGGACATTGTTTTTGTAATAATTGTTTGTTCTGTAAACATTTTTTGAAGACAATACAGTTTTGAACGGGCTGTGCGATATAAACAAGGATCTTACTATTATTTGAGGTTATAAAGTATTTAAATAATATAAAACATAATCAAAATCATTTTTCATCATAAATTATAGAGGTACTTACGTGTTTTGATATTATTATCAGGAAATAATACGTTTAATTAAACAGGTACGCTGCCAGGCAAGTTCTATCGGCGGGTCTTTGCAAAAGTTGAAATCTAAAAATACAAAACTACGTTTACATCTTAGTTGTATTTACGAATAAAGTATTTGTGTGTAATTTCTGACTTACCAGTTAATTGAATAATCGCATTAAATACATCCAAATGGTAATTTAATATTGTAAAAAGCAAAATTGTTTTAAATCACTTGCCAGGACAGCCGGCCAGCTTCTTTGTTGGCAAAATGGCCGCGGTATCATGATTTAAACAATGTGAGTGACAAAGAAAGCCAATGCCTGGCAGATGTTGCTTTCTTTGTCGTTGGTCCTGGCACGTTTAAATTTGACTGTTGCCTGTTTTCCCATACAAGTGACATCCCCGTGATCCAAACAGTTTCCACGGAAACTGTCACATCCAAACCAAAGACTCAAACGTTGTAAATTAAATTAAGGCTCTCCTTCCCACTGGCGCTAGCCTAGCTTTTGTAAGGGTTTGGCTGTCACAAAATGCTGCAAAAACCATGTGACCTTTCTTCACGAATCTTTTTTTATTTGTTTGTATACATCTTAAGACGTGCTTATAATTATATTTCCTTCCCCAAACTCAACTCAAACTGTTTCAAATTTACCCCTAAAACGCCCTAAAAAAGATGATTTTATAAGTAATTTTTTTAGCATTAAATGTATTCAAATCGATTTTAAAACTAATTACGAACATGTCCGGAAGCTTCCTTAATAAAGTGAAAGAAAAATTATTTCAAAATATTAAAAAACATGGTCGCAATTTTGTGACGCCCGACCCTCTACAAACCCAATTTTGATCATTTTTGTTGCCCGTAATGTGGCGCCCTCACGTGAATTTTGTTGCTGACGCTTTTGAAGGCGGGTGAAGGAAACCGGGTACGTATTCGAATTATTTGGATAAATTATTTTATAACGCTTGTCTCTTACACAATAATTTGAAATTTCCATTTTGTAATCAAATCACACGGCAAACAAAATTTGCGTTGCATCTATTGTGTGTGTATGGTCATTGATCATGATGCAATGTAACAAAACATAAAACAATAAACAATTAATAAGATGGTTTGAGATGGTGAAGTAATGGAAGGCATCTGTAGCTTCTAGAATAAAAAACTTTTTTAAGTTTGCAAACCTAAATTATGTACGAGGATGTATTTGAGGAAAATATTTTAACTTCTATAATGGTGGTATATATACGCTCAGATAGCTTATTATTACTTATTCTCCTGTACTGCCTCTTCGAGTGTCTCTCTTAATTCATAAGTTCTTTTGTAAACCTTGTTGTTAACCATACCTCATAAAAAATCTAAAATGGATACGTCAGGTGATCGAGGAGGCCCATGCAATTGGTCCACCTCTTTCTATCCCTGAGTCTATATAATTCAGCTCAGATAGCTTATTATTACTTATTCTCCTGTACTAAACTTATAGAATAAATAATAAAAACTTATAGAATAAATAATAATAAAGTACAGAAAGTTTAATTAACTCGACCAGTCGTTCTGTAAGAATAGCTAAAAATTCAGTTTTAAAAAGATGCATTTATGTACTCAAAACAATGGCGGATTTTTTGAACAGTTTCTAAAATAACATATTGTACGTAGTGATATTATTTTAAGGTTTAGTTTGTGTAATGTAAATTTTAAAGAGCCGTTTAATAATATATTTTGTCTTTTTATAAGTTATAAATCATAAGAAAATATGAACTTTTTTATGAAGTCATGGCCAACTATGGTTCCATTTAAAAAAAAACATATGTTTGTGTCATATGTCAAAAATGACGGGCTTCAGAAAAAAACGGAGAACACAAATTCATTAGGAATGTGATTATCTGAAAACTTTTTGTCTAACTAAAATAGATTATAATAGAATTAAGGACAATTTTTAAAATAGCCAAAATTTGTTTTTTTTTAAAAATATCTAGTAAGCAATGAACTTTTTCAAAAATCTGAACGGCGCATATTTCTGACCCCATAAAACTGCAATTCTTTCTCCATTTAACCGACTCTCTATCTTCAGGACTTTCCGAAATACCCATAGAGAACATCGTAGGATTAACTCATCCTGTATATTATTTCTCATGAACCATTTGGTCAACATCTCCCCTAGGTTATTCACCTTACCTTCAACGATTGTTGTAGAAAACGACCAAAATCAACGCGAGCCACATCCATTGGATCTTCCATCGGGTTGTTAACGCTGGGACAGTCGAACATGTGTTCGGTGTCGCACATACAATCCTGCATTGCCTGGTAGCTGCGGCTATAAGCAGCGGTGTTTTCAAAGTTTTCCAAACATCCTTGATTATCTACAATTATTAAATATAATAATAATAATAGCTCCCGTGTATAGCGTTTAACGCAGGGCCGTATCTAGACCAAAATTTCGGGGGTTGGCTTGGAGGGGGGGTACAAAAGCTGCTAGGAAAAAAGCATAATAAAAAATCGCTTTGGGCTACACTCAAATCTTAATTGAAAATAAAATTTTAAAAAGTAACAGGTAAAATTATTAATCTTAAAGGATAAACTGGAAAACGATTGACTACCTCTTCGATATCGATATTTATTTCTCTATGTACGCTTAATAGAGCAAGTCCTGTCAATCGCTCCTGACCTGTAGAGTTACGTAGGAAGTCCTTCATTCGCCCTATGCCGCAACCGCACATGCGGCATTTAGCGAACTCCGAGCGTTCGTCAACTACCGAACGCTAGTGATCGGACTTCGCCTTTCCATCCACACATGCGGGCTCTGATAGCAACAACATAGAGACGAGCGCTCGTTCTCGCCGCCGATCGAGTCGCCGAAGTCCGACTTCCTCATTCACACACATAGGAAATCGGCGAAGCCCCGATCCGAGATCGCCGAATACCGCATGTGCGGCTGCGGCATTAGGGTTGAAAAAGACCTTTCTGGTGTAGCTGTTGACACTAGTAGAGTTGCTAGGATCATTAATAAAATGTATATATTTGGAAATATACACTGGTTACACTCCGATTATCGTTTCGACGGCGTTTTTAGGTCGGTCGACTGCAGGTAGTTGCTTCCATTTTTGCCGCCACAAGTCTACTTCTGCCGCTAAAGTGTCATAGTCCAAGAATTATTTGTTTAATAGCAGAACAATAACAAACGTTAATCACGTTAATGACCAGCAAAACACACAACATTCAAAATCTCCCTCAAACTTTTGCTGTTTTAAACACTTGAATGTTGAAAGTCGAAAATCGAAAATGACATTTGCTTTCAAAGTGGAAAAGTGAGGTTAGGGTGTATAATGTATAACATCAATGACTAAAGAATACAAGGACAAATAGCACCCGAGACCAAACTGTGGCCATTCTTACAAACAGTGCCGTGGCACATATTTTACTTAACATTGCCGCTTGAAGGATATTTATATTTTTGATATTATATGTTTTCACTACGCCTATGGTGTATCGGGTGGTATCATATACTAATTAATTATGAAAAAACGTATTAAAATATTGACAAAAGGCACATAACTAGTATCGACGTATAGTACATATCAAGTACATATAATATCAGAAAAATAATTATCGAATTCAATAAAAAAACGCTAAAAAGGTGTAGGGTACTGTTTATTTCCCTATAAAACGTAACTTCTGGCTCTTTCTTATCATTGCGCCTTTTACACTTGAAAGCTGAACAAATTACCATTGTAATAAAGTTTATACAAAGTTCACTACACACAACCATTTACTACAACTATTAAAAATCGCTAAAATTTTCGCTGATGACCAGCTGATGATGTCGTTATGTCTAAAAAGTTGGCGTCTAAGGTCACAAATTCTGCTGCAGCCCGTATATGGGCGTTACATGTTCTGGTATTCTTTAGTCATTGATATTCATCCATCTTCTTCTTTTTTGTTTCGTTCTTACTTACTTACTTACTTAATGATCATTACTTTCTAAAAATTTTCGGCCATAATTTCGGAGGGGGGTTTGAACCCCCAAAACACCCCTCCAGATACGGCCCTGGTTTAACGCCTTTGGAGTAGGCAAGGTACAAGCCATGCTAGAGCCGTTCGGTATACAAGGAAGGTAATGTGGCTAGCATTATGCTTCAACCGCCTATTATTACCTCAGGGTTGTGAATCCCAAGTACTCATTTAAGGCTGAGTCGACCAAGGTACCTAAACTATTTTTATTTTAATAAAAATAGTCGGCTGATGAAATGCCGGGTGTGGGATTCGAACCCACTACCTTCAGATTGGTAGACGAGAGGAGACGAATTATTAAATTAAAAGTAAAGTAAATTATTTTAAGCTAACGTCTCCTTTTATTTTAAGGCTAATCTGGACGGGGCCAACTTTATTTACGCGGAATCTGAACCGCGGTCCTTGGCCATATAATTTCAATGGCCTACCGACTTCGCGACTCACGAGATATCCGATCTCATCTGGCCTCGAACCGGTGTGAAAGAGCAGTGTGTGTGTCAATAGAATTTACATATATTATTATACATGTAAATAATAAAACTACAAACACTTAAATTTAATAAAGCTCAGTAGGTAGTGTAGAGCAAGAATGATCGAACAAGACATGGAGAAATGTGTACAAGAGTGATCAATGAGACATAGAGAAAATATGCACAATACGACTACAAAATCGTCTAATTATTTCTTGTTTCAGGTTATTGTAAAGTGTAGGTATACTCTTTTGTATGATAACATACATAGGTACGTCTTTTCTATTGGTTTTTTCCTTTTTGGTTGATAAATGACTAATTATTCTGATAAAGGAAATAGTAATTAATTAATAACATGCTTCATCATACCCCGTCAGTAAGGTAGTCTTGGGTCGGTATTTACATGTATAAAAGTAAATCGTTAGGGTGATCTTGTAAGTCACTCAGATAGATAAATATTCTTTAATATTTGATTTAAACCTTAAATTTGTAATCCGATTTTAGTTCATCATGTGCTGCTTTGCGTTTTTTTGTAACGCCATTTATTCATCATCGCTTTATTACCAGGAAGTTTACAAATGGAAGGCTGTGATTACATTCAGATAAAAATATCAAGTTCGAAATAAAATCAGAAATTACTGATTAATTAATTTTATTTCATTTAATTGCGCCAAATTGATAATTTATAGCAAGACCAAGTTTAAAAACTTCTTTGTTTGGATTCATATTTTTGAAACGAATTAATGAATTCCAACAATTCCGTAGAAATAAATATACAGAATTTTTTTAGGATTTTGATACTACAAATAAATTACTAAATATTTTCAAAAACAGGGTGGTCCGAACTGTAAACTTCGGCAGCATATTCTGGAGATAAAAATAAGTAAAAAAGTTCGTATGTATGTCCTAATGTATGTTCGGAATGTATGTCCTAAAATGCTGAGTTTCGGAGATACAGAGTGTAGAAGTTTCATTTTTATTTTGATTTCTTCCAAATCATTTCTGAAGCAACGTCAATATTTGGATGAAAATTGGTGTCTGGGAGTTTTTTGACATGAGAAATTTGATTTTGATGTCAATATGACTCATATTTGTAACGACCGCTACCTAGATGTGTTTTAATTGTTTCGGAGTGTAATAACTTTTCATCTCCGCACCTGTATAAAACTACTGAGTGAAAAAAAATATACATTTCCGTGATTTCTTACGTAAAAAGTGTATCTGTAAAAATTGCTACGAGCAACCTCAAGATATTTAAAATGGAAATAGTCAATACATATCATTATTGACAAAAAATAAACACATTGAGTAGATGGTTATTTGACTGAAATAATACATTTGGGAAACTTTTATTTTTTAAATTAATTATACATTTTTCTGCGGAACAATGATGATAAAACAGTTTCAAAGTTTCTGTTGAACTTTTGGCAAAAAAAACATTTCAAGTTCTGCCCAATTTCAGTCTGATAACTACCGTGCTGGCAACTGTTACTTTTGGGTCGGTATTTACATGTGTGGAAGTAAATCGCATAGGGATCTTATTAAGTCGGAGTGTGAGAAATTCGACGGTGTGCTGTATGCCTTTCCCTATCAGTTAAAGTAAAATCACGACCATAAATCGCTTATTTTTAAAAGACTTTTTTCGAAAAGATAACTAGATAAAATCGTTAGATATGTTTCTCAGCATCTGAAATGGAATTATAAGGATATCCTTAAGGTGTCCATTTTTTTATAATGAGAAAACGTCAGTAATCGCGATAATTTAAAAACTCAACTTTTTAACACATAACACGCTATAACTTAAGAACCACTTTAGAAACTTTTTTTTATTTTGAAGATCGGATCCTTTATATTATATTTAAATAAGAAAAAATCGACAAGGTTTGATAAGAAAAATTCGACAAAAAATTTAAATAACCAGTCCATTTACTTTTAGTGCATAGCAATTTTCAGCAATCGTGTAACTTTTTTATTTATAAAGATTTTCATATACTGTCTGCGAAGAAAATATAGCAGAAATATTAACAAAGTTTTTGAAAAAAATTACAATCAATTATTTATAATAGATATTGAGTTAATAAAAGTTATTACTTTTTGAATTCAGAGTTCTAATAGCACAATCACTGTCGAACACTAACTCAATTCCATTTATTTTTATCAAAAATGCAAGTGTTTCTAGCTTTTTCTAGCTAAAATTACAACAACTCGTTAATAAATAAACTAAAAAATATCACGAGACGTAATTAAATCGTGAAGCTGAACCCATGATGTACACCTTTCCCTAGAACTTTAAATACTGACAGAGGTACTGATTGGGTCGACCGGTCAACTGCGACAAATCAGAAGTGTCTAGCCCATAGACTTAAAATAAAATATAGACTGAGCATCTCATTCATAAATAGCTGGAACATGCGGTCAGACAATATCTTGTTATTGTTGTGTTATTGTTTTAGGTTATAACGAGTGCGACACGAGCGATAGATAGGTTGTCTCTGTCGTAACGGTCGTTCCCTGACGACTCTGCCGAGAAACACAACACTGTCTTTCGTTTCTCAAGTACACCTGAACTCTCCGTCTCATAGCCGGGTAATTTTTTTATTTTAATGAAGCTATAATTAAATTAAAAATATATCGTATTTAAACATTTTTATATTTTATTAAGATTTAGGACAGGTTTTTTAAATAAAAGTTTTAGAAAAAACGTCTTAGAGTCCAAAAAGGATAAAAATAATAAAATACACGTTATAGAAGAAATTTTATAATCGAAATTATGTAATTTTTGAAATTAATAATAAATTATTAATTTTAGTCAAACATTTACAACCCCTAATATTAATCAAAACAGGATCTATTCCACAGATATAATAGAGTCGGCGACAGGGAGAGAAAAAAAAATATGATTGTTGTAATGTTTTTTCTGGTTAAGTGATGTCTTATGTAAATTAGAGAAAACATAAATCTGTTCCATTAAAGCAAGGAAGATGATAGGAAGTGGATAAAATGAATACTACATTTATTTAACTCGGTACTGTCTTTATTATACCGGGTGCGTCCAAAAGTGGCTCATCCCTCATAATTTTTTATATTTTCAAATAAAAACACAAGATTTAGCATGTTAGTATATGACATAAATTAGGATTGATTGACGCATTCAATTGTTTTTGGTCACTTCCTGTTTCACCGGAAATGACTATAACTTTTAATTTTTAAACGGCACCCTCGGTATATTTCTACTTTATTCGATAGAAAATGACACTCTGAATAGAATGACATATAATATGTCACCTTTTGACATTTTCGCATATGGTTTAATTGTAATTGTAACACGCAGTTCATAACGACAATTTGACTCGAAATACCAAGTGTGTGGTATCAATATATTCATAAAAAAATGCTTTTTTCAAATATGCTAATGAGTCACCCTTATTCCATTTAAAAAAATTGACATATGTATGATTAAAAATACGATTTGTACATCTTTTAACCGGCCTAGACAAGACACGAAACCTATTAGACGATCAAAACTATTTTTCCAAGGCTCCTTGATTAAAACTTAGTGTAAAAACACCATGGCACCCTGGATTGAAATTTATAATAGGATATATTTTTAAGCGACAATGTCAAAAGTTGACATATGACATGTCATTCTATTCAGAGTGTCATTTTTTATCGAATAAAGTAGCAATATACCAAGCGTGCCTTTAAAAATCAAAAGATGTAATCATTTTGGTGAAACAGGAAGAGCCAAAAACAATTGAATACGTCAATAAATCCTAATTTATGTCATATACCTACTAACATACAAATCTGTTTTTTTTATCTGAAAAAATAAAAAAGTTATAGGGGTGAGCCACTTTTGAGACGACCCGGTATATTAAAAAATATTGTTTCATAATGTAATATCATTTTAAAATTCTTGTATGTTATTTTAGATTCTGAAGATAATTTTAGAATAAACCGGAATATATTTTTAATAAAAACATTATTAATATTAACAGGGTTATAATTATGATTTTGTTACAATGTAAGTAAGTAAATAATGTAATGTAAAAGAAAAAATTCAGATTTTACATTTTACTAAAATATTATCTAAATAAGCGCCTTTCTACAACAACGCCACTGACTGCCAATGGGTAAATTGAGAGTTGCCTACCGGTCCAAAGTCGTTTCAAGACTTAAATGGATTATTTAAGTCAAATTTCTTGCAAATTTGGCACTGGCGAACCATATTTTATAGTTCCTGAACAGAAAAAGTCAATAAAATAAACACTTAAGGACTACAAGCTAAGAGAATGCGTTAATACAGCCGGGGAGATAGCGGCAACAAAGCTTTACCGCACACGTGCGACACGTACTACAAGGTAATAAATGAATGAATAGGCTCCCTCGCCTCTAATCGGTGTTGTCATATTGTAAAGAACTTATCCTTATTAAACAGTATCCGACTTATAATTTAGTAGTATAAGGACTATTTAATACATCTATGGAATATTAAAACCTACTTTATTAAACTGTAGTATTAATATCTCAATATATGTATATAACAAGAAAAAAAAATATTGATAATATTAAAGACGTGACAACATAGGCTGGATGAGGAAGGCTCGGTCGACTGTACCCAGAAGTAAACATGTGTACAAAAAAGGTTGTTTGTCCGCGTTGAGATGTAAATAGTGTAGTCTATATTTTATTTTAAGTCTATGGTCTAGCCCTAGCAGTCAACTTTTAAGCTTGACCAATCAGGTTGGTTAGCGTGGTTATTTGAAGTGTGTTAATTCATTTGTGTTTGTCAAAAACTCTAACGTGATTGGTCGGGCCTAATAGTTGCCTGCTAGGGCTAGACACAAGTGACAAATCTGCTATATCCCCTTCCACGTCTCTTAGCAATGTGTCCAGTTTCTCGGTTTATTTCATACGTTTGGCAACGTGTTTACTATTCTCTCTTTGTTCAGTACATTATAAACGCATTGTACTCTTCTTACATACGGAAATCTCGACCCAAGACTAACCTTTTCCAGCCCTTAGTATATGTAATCAATGTGTTTAATTTATATCAATGATGATAGGATATTGATAATTTCGATTCCAAATATCTCGAGAACCATAACTCGTAGCGATTTTTACCAAGAGACCTTTTTACGTAAAAAATGTCGTAAACGTATATTTTTTACTCAGTAGTTTTATACAGGTACGGACGAAACGGTATTACTCTTCAAAACAGTCTAAACACATGTCAGTGGCGCCCCTTAGAAATAGGAGTTATATTGATATCAAAATCAAATTTCTCAAGTCAAAAAACTCTTACTTAACTTATTTGGAAAAATTTGAAATAAAAATGAAACTTCTACACCCTGTATCTCCGAAACAAAGCATTTTAGGACATACAATTATACACATTTTTTTGTACTTTTTTATATCTGCAGAATATGCTGCCGAAGTTTCCGGAATACAGTTCGGACCACGATATATCTGTAATACGATAAATTAAAATCAATTTTCGGTAACTTACTATTATATCCGACGGGACAAGGATTAGGTGGATTGCAATAGGCCGGCAACGTAGCATCTGTCTTAATCTCTTGCTTGGTAATCTTCAATCCGGGAGTAAGAATTTGGTTTCCATCACCCGATCCTCCGGAAATGTATTGATTGCCCCACAGGCTACCATGCTGGATATACTCCTGGTCTCTGATACTGGGATGCATATTAATATCCCTACAATAAAACAGAAATTGTTAATTCAATATATCATAATATCTTATATCTTATGATTGAATTTGATGATTTAAAGAAGAACACATTCGACCAATGTGTATTCGAAACCTGGATTCTGACACAACGCTAGAAGGAACGAAATATGCTGGGAACAACCATAGAAGACCGTAAAAGAATAGCGTGGATACGACAAAAACCCAGGTAATAGATGTCACCCACAGAGTCAAATCTCTCAAGTGTCAATGGGTAGGACACCTGGCAAGAAGGACGGACGAAAGAGGACAGATGGACCACAAAAATTATAGGATGGTACCCACGAGGAATTAAGAGACTTAGAGGAAGATAAAACCTGAGATGGGACCATGATATTAGGAAATTAGCAGGGATAACTTGAACCCACATAGCTAACAATAGGCAACAATCGAGCCAACTACAAAAGGAGTATCTACACATATGAGGAAGGCTACACCATAATTGGAAATGGTTGAATAAGCTGAGAATAATAATGATGATGATGATTGAATATAAATCTATACTAATATATAAAATTCTAAAGTGACTGACATACTGATTAATCACGATCCTGCTCAAACCACTCAACATAAGAAGCTCAATTTTGGCATACAGGTTGATTCTAGGGTGTAGAGGTTCGATAAGGAGAGATTTTTCGAAATTCCAGTTCCAAGGGGGTTGAATATAAATCTATACTAATATATAAAATCCTAAAGTGACTGACATACTGATTAATCACGATCCTGCTCAAACCACTCAACATAAGAAGCTCAATTTTGGCATACAGGTTGATTCTAGGGTGTAGAGGTTCGATAAGGAGAGATTTTTCGAAATTCCAGTTCCAAGGGGGTAAATAATTTTTATTTAAAAAACAGTCAAGTTTCCGAAAAAACGCTTAAACACGTATATTTTATTTTGTTTTTTTACATATTTTAAGATTTTTTAAAAATGTATACAGGGTGTTACGAAAAATCTGATCATTGATTAATCACGATCCTGCTTAAAGCGCTTGATGTAAAAAGCTGATTTTTGGAAAACAGATTGACTTTAGGGTAACTTACTATTATATCCGTAGAGGTGCGATAAGAAGGGATTTTTCGAAACTCGAATTCTAAGGGGTGAAACTATCCCTCAAATATTAAAATATTTTTTATTTAAAAACCGGTGAGTTTTTCGGAAAAACTCTTAAACACGTATATTTTATTTTGTTGTTTTACATATTTTAAGATTTTTTATAAATTTATACAGGGTGTTTCATAAAATATGATCATTGAGTAATCACGATTCTGCTTAAACTGCTTGACGTTTAAAGCTGATTTTTGGCAAACGAATTGACTGTGGGGTGTAGAGGTTCGATAAGGAGGGGTTTCTCGAATCTCAAATTCCAAGAGGCTGAAAACGCCCCTCAAATATTACAATATTTGGTCTTTAAAAAACGGTTAGTCTTTAGGGAAAACGCTTGGACAAGCATAATTTATTTGGTTTTTTACATATTTTGAAATTTTTTAAAAAATCATACAGGGTGTTCCAAAAAGTTGGGTAATTTCTTAACCACGATTCTGCTTTAACTGCTTGCCGTAAAAAGCTTATTTTTGGCAAACGGATTTTTCGAAAGTCAAATTCCTATGAGATGAAACTACCCCTGAGATATTACCAAGTTATACAATAATATCGCCATATTGTTTTTTCTCATGCTGACATAAATGTCAGAAAATTTTATCCAGTTTGTATGTTAATGAAAATACTTGCTTTGCTTTATCATCACCATTACAAATGATTAATTCGACGCGAACGAAGTCGCTGGTACACGCTAGTAAGAAAATAAAATGCATGACAACCTTTCAATAGCGTTTCCATAGAAATTTTTGGAAAACCCGTACAAAATCCGGACTTCGTTGAAAAATAAATTTTGAATTTATTTACGTATGTAAATTTTGTCTAACGAAAGAATATCTGATAATCAGAGTTATCTGTCAGTAAAATTCGCAGGTAAATTGTATTTTCTGTCACTGTTTGGATGTGCGTCTGACGATATTCTTCTCTGAGTCGTTGGACACACGGACTTTAATTTAAATGGGAAATTAAAGGTATTTAAAAAAATATTAAGAGTCTATTACGCTGTACTGTACGGGTCGCTTTCAGGGGTCGGGTAAAGCGCGTGTGTGGTTGTGTATACAGGGTGGTCCGAACTGTATTCCGGAAACTTCGGCAGCATATTCTGCAGATAAAAGTAAGTAAAAAAGTTCGTATAAATGTATGTGCTAAAATGCTTAGTTTCGGAGATACAGGGTGTAGAAGTTTCATTTTTATTTCGATTTTTTCCAAATAATTTCTGAAGTAAAGTCAATATTTGAATGAAAACTGGTGTCTGGAAGTTTTTTGATATGAGAAATTTGATTTTGATGTCAATATGGCTCCTACTAGTAGGGGGCGCCACCTACATATTTTTTAACCGGTTTGAAGAGTAATAACTTTTCGTCCGTACCTGTATAAAACTACTGAGTAAAAAAATATACATTTATGACGTTTTTAACGTAAAAAAGGTCTCTTGGTAAAATTCGCTACGAGTAATGGTTTTCGAGACATTTGGAATCGAAATTATTAATACCTGTCATCATTGACATTAATTAAACATGTTGACTAAATAGTTATTAAACTGAAATCATAAATTTGAAATATTTTTGTGCCAAAAGTTCAACAGAAACTGTTTTATCATCATTTTTTGCAGAAAAATTTATGATTAATTTAAAAAAAATAAAAATTTTCAAATTTATTATTTCAGTGAAATAACTATCTAATCAACGTGTTTATTTTTCGTCAATAATGACATGTATTGACTATTTCCATTCCAAATATCTTGAGAACGGTTGCTCGTAGCGATTTTTAAAAAGAGATATTTTTTACGTAAAAAGTCACAGAGATGTATATTTTTTTACTCGGTAGTTTTATACAGGTACGGACAAAAAGTTATTAAGCTTCAAAACAGTTAATACACATGTAGGTGGCGCCCTCTACTAGTAGGAGTCATATTGACATCAAAATCAAATTTCTCATGTCAAAAAACTCCCAGCCACCAATTTTCATCTAAATATTGACGTTACTTCAGAAATTATTTGGAAAAAATCGAAATAAAAATGAAACTTCTACACCCTGTATCTCTGAAACGAAGCATTTTAGGACCTACATTTATACGAACTTTTTTATTTCTTTTTATCTGCAGAATATGCTGCCGAAGTTTCCGGAATACAATTCGGACCACCCTGTATATTATATTTCAGAAATCTGCCTAAGGCTTAGCCCGATCCTGTCGTGCTAAGCCACACCCAAAATTCCAAACACACGTGCTTTGATTAAGGCTTGATTAAGTTTTGCAGAGCTTCAGCATTTGCCATAAAATAGCGAGCAAGTTGTTACAAAACCATATAAATTATATACCTATCACTGTAATCACAAAACTTCAATCTATTTCCGTATAATAACGGAATTTTTGAATTATGTCTTTATTTTCGAGAAAATTTAGTCCAAACATAAGGAATATTTTGTGGATGTTTGACCATCAAAATCTTAAAAATGAAGAAGTTGTCTAAAAATGTGCTACAGTACGAATATAGTATAATCCTGTATATATTTAATTTCCTTCTTCATTTGTGTAAAAATACTTAGCTAGTTTTACATAAAACGTTAAATGCCGCACGCTTATTTTGCTACTTTTTCGGACTAGCGAAATGGACTCTTAAGGATACTTTTTGCCTTTGTGAGCAGTACTAAGATTTGTACTCCATACGTTCCAAAGAACACCCAGAATTGATTTATCCTGTTTTAGTATAAGAGTAAACTTTTTTTGCATTTGATTAGTTACTGCATACTTTCGTTTTGGCATTATTAAATGCTTAATTTTATTGGTAAATTGCATAAAAATAATGTCTATAGTCAGAAGACTTTTATGAATAAATATTGCATGTTATACCGGATGCGTCTCAAAAGTGGCTCACCCCCTAAAACTTTTTTATTTTTTCAGATAAAAAAATGAGATTTGGTATGTTAGTAGTTAGTATATGACATAAATAAGGATTGACTGACAAATTCAATTGTTTTTGGTTACTTTATTCGATAGAAAATAAGACTCTGAATAGAATGACATATCATATGTCGACTTTTGACAACTTTGCTTTAAAAAAATCGTATTTTAAATTTCAATCTGGAGTGCCATGAGTGTGCTTAAAACACTAATTTTTAATCAAGGAACCTTGGAAAAATAGTTTTGATCATCTAATGTTTCTCAGTTTCACTTCAAATATCCGCACATAGTGCACACACATTTTTTATAGATACTATACCGGGTGCGTCTCAAAAGTGTCTCACTCCCTATAACTTTTTTATTTTTTCAGATAAAGCACCGAGATTTGGTACGTTAGTACATGACATAAATTAGGATTGATTGACATATTCAATTGTTTTCGTTCACTTCTGGTTTCACCGGAAATCACTACAACTTCTGATTTTTAAATGACCCCCGTTATTTTTTTATTTTATTCGATAGAAAATGACACTCTGAATAGAATGACATATCATATGTCAACTTTTAACATTTTGGCATATGGTTTATCCATTTGAAAAAATTGAGATATGATTAAAAATACGACTTGGGCATCTTTTAACCGGCCAGGACACGAAAAACATTAGACGAGCCAGACACGAAAAACATTAGACGATCAAATCTATTTTTCCAAGGCTCCTTTATTAAAAACTAGTGTTTTTAACATAGCCGTGGCACTCTAGATTGGAATTTAAAATACAATTTGTTTTTGAGCGAATATGTCAAAGTTGACATATGATATGTCATTCCATTCAGTGTCATTTTCCATTGAATAAAGTAAAAAAAATACCGAGGTACCATTTAAAAATCAAAAGTTGTAGTCATTTCCGGTGAAAAAGGAAGTGACCGAAAACAATTGAATATGTCAGTCAATCCTAATTTATGTCATATACTAACATACCAAATCTGGTTTTTTTATCTGAAAAAATAAAAAAGTTCCGGTATATTTGAAGTTTCTTATAATAATTTACAATTTTACACAGTAGTAACTAACTAAACTTTGTTTAATGTAAATATGTTGTTTTAACTGAACATAAATCTCAAAACTAAGTTAGTTTAAATAGACTTAGATTAAGCCTTGCCGAGTCTACCTCGGTCTCCTCAGTTAATGCTAGATTTCCTTTTAGCATTATGTGAAAACAAAAGTTAAGTATAATCAGCTTATAGTTCAAAGTCGAGGGTAAAGTGATAATAAATATAATACCTAGTTACCTGGCGGTTATATAAACTTATTTTAGAAAACATTAAATAGAAAAGTTATAGTAAAGGTTAGGATACACAATTTAAAATGATTTTTGAATACAAAGGGTGCTTTAAATAAGTGTGCCGGATATAACATTTTTGACGTGAAAGTTCTTTACGCGCGATGAGAGTAAAAATTCACGGCGACACGTGACACGAGATGAAAAAGTGGTAAATCGAGGAAGTTGAGATGGGTCTTTGGTGCGTGGCAACTCTGGCTCTATATGTGAGCTAGGGGACTGAAACTCGGAATGTAGTTGTTTTGTCTTGCTTTCATGATATTTTATTCATTGATATTGTTGCATATGAAACCACATCATCAATGGCAAAAATCGTTCGATTTAAGGTTGATTCTCACTATACCTTCCATATCAGCTCCCTTCCGTTTACATAAAATATTATATCATGTAAATGAATAGGACAATGCAAACTATCCGTTCCGTTTCCCTTCCGTTCCATATCCTTTCCTTCCATACATTTTTTTGGCGTACGAACTGAAGCGTATCGAAAACTTGTCAAGTTTTACATTTCGGTTAATATTTTGCTAATATATATTTATTCTCAAAGCAAAACCTTTGAAGGCGGGTAAAAGGACAATAACTCACAATCTTTAAGTTGTTTAATTTAAATTTTAATGCTTAAAAAAGCAAGGGGGGCGACATATTTCGAGAATATAAACTATTCCCATCATCAGGCCCAAAGCTAAAACAATTACAGAGGTCAAATTTATAAAATACAATAACAACAAGTTAGAAAGTCAAAAATCTTTTACAAAGTCAAAAAATTATATCTATCACAAAAATTGTTATCAATCACAGATAACAATATGGGATGCTAAATTTGAAAAATTAAAAACAACTAGACTAAAATCATAAGGTGAGGGGAGCCGTATAATCAACTATAATTAGATAAATTGAAAGAAAAAACAAGGCAATAATCAAATCATATCTCAATGCACAATTCAAAGAAATTTACTTAAGCATTAGTTAAATTTATTTTGAGAGATATATTTTTTTATTTATATATTTTTTTTATTTTTGTATTAGTAATGTAAGTTCAGAATTAATTATTTCAATCTGTATATGCTGATATTCAATTATGTAGGATAATTTTTTTAGTTATGTTAGTTAAGAACAAGTTAATAATTATGTTTATTTTTTTTATTTTTTAATTAATATATGTTGAATTTTAATTTATATTTCAAATTTATATATTGTAGAAAATTAATATTTACTTTAGTTTAATTTTTAGAAATTTAATATTTATTTTAATTTATATATTATGTAGAAGAATTATTTTTTATTTTAATTTAATTAAACTTGTGTTCTTTAAAATAAAAGCATACTCACACAAAAGTCACCTAGGAAGTACAACCACTCGAAAGAAATAAAATTAGTTAGAGTTGTTAACATTTACACAACTCATTCATTGTAATTATAAATTGTATAACTCCATATATTTATTCTGTCACGTCTTAATTAAATCTATTACTTTTTCAAAAGATACAAATTTAAAAAAAAAACTTTCTTAATTATATAAATTTTACAATAAAAAGTATGGAACGATACGGAACGGAAGCTTACATATAACGTCAATACCATATAGGTAAATACGGAACGGATACGGAATGGAAACGGAAGATATAGTGAGAATCAACCTTCAATGGGTCTTCGTGGCGTCGTAACTCGGGCCCTATATGAGCTCAAACAGCCGCATCTTTTCATGATATTTTCACGACGTTTCGTACACTATGAAACCCCATCATCAATGGCGAAAAAATCGTCCGATTTAAATAACGGTCCGATTTAACCAAGGCCGACTTGACCGTGCACGACACGTGTCACTGTGACGGTTAGTTTTGACATAAAAAACGTCAAAAGTTGATGTCGTCCGATCGCGACCAAATTTGGTGGGTAGGCTATATGAGCGACGGTGCATACGGTCCCACCCTGCAAAGTTGAATACGACGTTTCGTTTACATCTGCATCACGGTGGGACTAAGGATTTGATATTGAAGAAAAATGTGGGTCGATTTCGGCATAGTTGGGGACGGGCTACCCTCGACGTTTCAAACCGATGCCTCTAAATGGGTGAAATCATCAGGATTTTTGTTAACTATGGGTCGATTGGAAGCAAACTCGGCACGTGGATAGAGTACTCATATATATATATATATATATATATATATATATATATATATATATATATATATATATATCGTAGTTTCATAGTGTATTCCGTCTTTTCATTAAGATCCTAGGTCACTTCATGAAGCGTCGGTTAGGTTAGGAGTTTAGTTATGTTATTAGGTTAGTTTTTTTTCATTAAGTGACTAGGATCTTCATGAAAAGACGGAATACACTATGAGACTACGACATATACATAACTCTAAAAAATGTCTATAGCTATGTGGCGGATTCATCTTTCCAAAAAAATCCTTTAAAATCATTTTAACAGAACGTCAACGGTTTCTTGTAGACGTATCTGTTTTAAAAAAGTAAAGTGTTCTCGAATAGTTGAATTTAAATATTTTAAATAGTTTTTTTCTTTATTCTTTGTATTTTTTTGCTTCCGACGACAGAAAGATATAACTTTCCGAAACGTTAAGCATTTTTTTTTCTTTGTTAGGCAAATTTTTTTAACTTCTGAAAAGCAGCGTCCGTTTAGGTTTAACCCTTGTTTAACGCAGAAGTGTTTACAAAAATAATTATTTTATTTTGTAGATTTTCTTGCAGTGCAGTGGCGAAATAATAATAATATTCATAAACCTCATCAGAAGAAAATATTTTTTGATCCAAAGTTTTTTTTTCATTATTAGAATAAATTACCTGGAATTTGTTAATTCATTACAACATTGAATAAAAGATGCAAAGTGTTTATACATACTATAATAGATAAATCTTCATTTAAAATTATGTGATAGATCTGCTTGCTTGTAGGATCTAGACTGATAAACTCAATTTCTTTTATTGATATAACCAATAAAGTAGTAATGCTGAAATTTTGTTTTTGATTTGTGCAATAAGGTCCATTATTTCCATTATTTGATGCTGTTATTGCTCTACAAAATGATGATCTCTATCAAGGGATGTTTATGTGTATAATATTACTATTTATGTGTATAATAATACTGTATGATCGAAAAAACACGGCGTCCAGTTGGCTTGGAATGACATCTCAATGACATTCTCCATATCATTTTACATATAAAATGACAGCAATCTTCATTTCATAGGCATCGCTGACGCTGTTTTTTAAATTGTACCTACGTATATAATATTCATTTAATGGTTCCTGTTTTAGTTGCTGGTGTTCATATTTTGGTTTTTTATTCTGTTGTTGCTCTACAAAATGTTAATATTTATGTGTATAACATTACTCTTTCTTTGTATAATAATACTTATGTGTATAATATTCATTTAATGGTGCCCTTCTTGCTTGTTGCTGTTGTTGCAACTCTTAAAGAATTTAAATTAACCTGAGGCAGTAGGTAGAGCTTCATCCTCCAACATTTTCCTATGTAAATACTGCAAGTGGACAGTATTTCTGATGACAATTTTATCATAAACTTTAACATCTTGTTCTTTAAAACGAAACTGCCATACCTTATCTGTAGATTTCAAAGCAATATCTAAATGCTTTTGACCATCGCTGTAATCTAATTCTTGTTTGAAAATCAATACCTAATATTATCCTGATGATTTTGATTTTTTGACAGATTATTAAAATACAGCACTTACAGTTAACTATATTTCTTGAAAGTACCTACAACTTTATTTATTTCCTACTTTTATTTGTTTAAAAAATGCCAACAATTTGTGCATGTCTGTCAAACTTTAAAATCATTAAAAATAAATTTTATTCAGGTTGTAACTTTATAGAAAGGATTGTAAAAATATACTTTGTAACATGTATGTCAATAATCTTACGAAAAATGTTTACTACACTTTTGATTGACTCTAATTTTTACATATAATACAAATAATACAATACTGAATTATTTTATGTATTTTAAATACATAAAATTGGCTTTGCCTTTGCTCTTTATTTCTTTGCATCAGCTATTCCATCAACTTCTCACCACACACACTTTAACCATTGTTACTTAATAAATAAAGCACAAAATATTGATAAACAATAATTATTTTATATTCTAAAAAATAAAAACAACTTTTTTTGGGTAATGTTTGGTTATATTTATTTTTATTCTCTTATCTATGGTCACTTTTCATTTTTTAGATTTATGCGTTTTTAGCGCCACTGTGGTCATTTGGCGAACCCTTATTCTTCCCATTTTGTGACCACTTTTTCAATAAAAGTCCCATAAGAGTTATTTCTCCTTACCTCTACACTCCATAGTAAAGCGACAATTGAAAATTTCAAATATTCATTTGAAAACTTCATATTTCAAAACTATTTATTTTAGTAATACACTTTATATGGGACCATATGTAGGGGTTCTATCTATAGAAGGTAAATAATCATTTCACTATTTATTATTTTGGAGAGATTTTATTTTTTCAGATTTTGCAAAATTTCTTTGAAATTGACTTTGGTTCGATTTCGAAAATTATATATAAATAAGAAATAAAAAAACCGCCCTGGAAGATCGCCATCCACCCTCTATCCAACCATACATAATTAGTTTCAGTCAATGGAAGTAGTTAGAAAAAATTGAAAAAAAGTGTTAAAAAAAGCAAGAATTCAAAAACATTTTGTGGCCAAAATTGAACTTCTTTGAAATACTTTGATTTCGATAACTTCTGAATTATTAAGATTTTTTATTTCAGACGGCTCTAATCAAAAGTTTTATTTTTGGTATACAAAGTGTGTCATAAAGTCATATACAGGCGATGAAAAAATAAAAAACGGTTTTTAAATTTTCGAATTTTCTAAAGTACATAATAATATTTAAAGAGAATAAAAATGCTCTTGAAATTGGAATATTGACGGCTTTTTATAAATTTTAAGTAATAAATATGTCATCATCATCATCATCAACCAGCCTGAAGTGTCCACTGCTGGACGTAGGCCTCCCTCAAATCCTTCCACTCTTCTCGGTCCTGTGCCACTTGGATCCAGTTTCTCCTAAATCTCTTCAAGTCATCTGACCATCTTGTCGGAGGTCTGCCTCTGTTTCTGAGAGCATCTTGTCTTGGCCGCCATTCTAGTATTAGCTTGGTCCATCTATCATCCGTTCTTCTGCAATATGCCCAGCCCAGTTCCATTTGAGTTTTTTAAGCAGATATATAGCATCTGTTATTCGTGTACGCTGTTTTATAACTGTACTGGGTATCTTGTCTCTTAGAGATACACCAAGCATTGCTCTTTCCATAGCTCGTTGGGCTACACGGATTTTTTCTATGGACTTTTTCGTCAGTGTAAGTGTCTCTGCGCCATATGTAAGTACTGGCATAACGCACTGATGGAACACCTTCCTCTTTAAGCACATTGGTAGATCTGATTTTAACACATATCTTAGTTTGCCGAATGCTGCCCATGTTAGTCCTACTCTTCTTTGTATCTCGTGCGTCTGGTTATCGCGGCCAATTGTTATTTCGTGCCCCAGATATTTATATGAATATACTTGTTCTATATTTGCTCCGTCTACCGAGACATTTCCACTAATAACAAGATTAGTCATTAGTTTGGTTTTGAATAATGTATGCGTGAGTCCAATTTGATCTGACGCCCGTTTAAGTGTTTTAGCATATTTTGAGCTTCGTGTATTTTGTCTGTAATCAGCACCAAGTCATTAGTAAAACGCAGGTTATTGAGCATTTCCCCGTTAACATTAATGCCCATTTCCTCCCAGTTAGTCTTTTGAAAATATATTCTAATAGTGCTATGAACAATTTGGGGGAAATTGTATCGCCTTGCAGTACTCCTCTTTTAATACGGAATTTATTTGTGTTTTCGTGTAGCGATACAGATGCTGTTGCATGGTCGTATATATACTTTAAAAGGTTAGTATAACGGGTGTCTATACGACATTCGGCTAGGGCCTTGAATAATTTGTGTTGATCGATAGAGTCGAATGCCTTTTCGTAGTCGACAAATATTAAAATGAGGGGTTTATTATACTCAACATATTTTTCTATTAGGGACTTCACCACCAACAGATGGTCATTTATACCAAAGTTCGATCTAAATCCAGCCTGTTCTCTTGGTTGATATTGTTCTAGTTTTAGGGAAAGACGATGGGAGAGACGAAAAAATATGTAATAAGTCAAAAATAACAATATCGATTTTTTGTCGAGCGAGTCTTAAATAAGTGCAATTATTCTTCGCAGTAGTAGGTATATTTGACCCCAGAAACACGATTATGAGTTTTTTCGCGAATTTTTCTTTGGAAATTTGGAATTTTTTGAAAAACTTTTTGGATTTTTTTTAATTTTTAGTTAAAAACCATAATTTCTTGATAATATCGCAACATAGATAGGTAGTAGATTAAATTTACAAGACAGAAAAACCCGAAAAGCTGCAGTGGTTCTCAAAATTTAAGCAAAAAAAATTTTTTTTGGAAATTTTTAAAGTAAAATAATTCAGTTATTTTGGAGTTATTTGAAAAACGGTAAAGAGAAAATATGGTTTTTTATCGAGACTTTACTCAAGACTTGCCCTGTATAATACCCAGAAAATCGACAATTGATAACTTTCATATGAAATACGAGTAGCTCTAAAACTCTTAAAAACATAGTTTAAATAGGGCATTTGTAAGGCTCACTAGCTCCATATACAAAGTAAATGATTTAAATCAATGCATGAACTATTCGAGGTGTAACGCGAACGTAGTCGCGGGAAAAACCTAGTTTGTAATAACATCAAAATCAGTCAAAGTCGCAGTTTTCGAGATATTAACATATTTTAGTATGGGCGGCTCTACGTGCCTCCCGGCGCCAATTTTTTTTTTAATTATTTTTACACAATTACACAATTTTTTTACTTATATGCTGCCAAAGTTTCCCGAATACAATTCGGACCACCCTGTTGTATTTAGTAAAACTAGACAATGATTAAAACTAATTATTATTAGCTTTAGTTCGTTTTTTTTTATTACCGATTCTGAACCGTCCCAGAACTGTAATACGCATGCGCAGAAGGATATATATGGCAATTTTTTTTCATTTGCACATGCGTAGCAAAGTTCGAGGACGGTTCAGAATCGGTAATAACAAAAACACTAACTAAGTTTTCAACCTTAGAAGAATAGCCAATTTAATCTACCATCGGTAATGAAACAGAAAACCATAATCAAGCAAGTTGAAAACGTAAACAAATTAAGGTGTGTTCCCTTAATTTAAAAAAAATTATATCATTTAATAACGAAATAGTTGCACAATCCGTCATGTAACTGCTTTTACCAAATAAATTCGAAATTTTGCTTTGGTTCGACATATATAATTATATTATCAAAACAAACACTTTCTATTAAAACAAAGCAAATTAAAATAATTTAATCAGAAATAAGCCTAAACAGAGAATTTTAATGATACTCTCTATACCTATCTATTATTTACATGCGACAGTGGAGATTCAATATGGCAGAATTTTGAAGTTGCCCAAAGCAACCACGACAAACATCAAATCGCCCACTCACTTATGAGTCAAAAGGGATCTTTATTGATTTTTCAGTGAAAACCAAAATAAATATTTTGTTTCCACTATCAAAACTATCTTTTGTGGGTGTTGGGAAGGCTCAAAGAAACAATTATATTTTATGCGACGTTATTATATCGCTTCTTCGGGCACTCAAAAATTTAATATTCTAAATGCCTACGAAAATAATCCGTGGCGACTCTTTAACCGTGTATGTCTTAACGTGTATGTTTTTCTACTTCTAGCTCATACTAGAAAAAAATACACGATTTGAACAAACTTAAGTAGTTTTGTACGATATGCGCCGTTGTCAGTACGATGTGGTACAGTATGTATAGGCATTTAGAATACTAAATGTTTTATTTTTTGTTTGTTTTAATCGCGAAACGTCGCGCGTCGCACAAAACAGAATTGTTTTCTTGAGCCTCCCCAGCATCCACAAATTATTAAAATAGTACGAGAGCTAGCAACGTCGGAAAAACAAGTATTTTAAGACGTCTGGCTCTTAGATATATTTTTTTCTATGCTCTATAGAACAGCATGCGACCCGTCTGGATGCCGGTAAACGTTGCGTTCTAGGGAATGCAATCCCGCAAATGCTGGATCCCGCAAATGCGGGATCCCTCTGTGATTCCGCGGGATTAAAGTTGCGGGATTTATCGTGCGGGATCGACACCAGGGGATTCCCCTTACGACTTGGCCATTAAAAATAAGTGAAACAAACAGGTTAATTGTTAGATTTCTTTCTGACGTGCCTAAGTGAAGAAAAGCGTTAACTAGTACTTGTGGACAATTACGCCAAATAAACTGCCGGACATAATTATCGGGACAAGCAAAATTTTAGGGTAAATTTAAAGTTGAATATCTCTTGAACTAAAAAGATTTTGGGACGCGCTTTGGACCAGGTTTTAGATGCATCTATTGTGATTAAGATACTATGTGGTTTTCGAAAATATGAAAATATATTTAGTGAATTCTCGTATATAGGGTGTTTTATAAGAGTAAAAATATGGTCAAGAATCTTTTTTACCGCAAATTTACAATTTTTAAAAAATCGAAATTTTTACCAAGTACGAATCTGTATTGAAATTAGAAAAAAACAATTTGATCGGTTTTTTATTTTTTTTTGCTTTAAGGAAAATACGACATTTTTTATACGATGGTCCTAAATGGTACAAAAAGCTTTGTACATTCTGCATATGAATCAGAATAATATTTTTATTTATAAAATAAGTAGATAAATTATAATAAAATTTAAGTTTATTTAATATTAAATATATTTTTTGAACACCATGTATATATCGGTCCAAATTTCTGTACTGCTAGTTTAAGATACACGCTATATCAATATATTGTGGGCCTATGCAAAATATACAATGCCTTTTGTACCATTTAGGACCAAATGTATGACTATGAATGCATATTTTTCGAAAAAAGATCGTATTTTCCTTAAAACAAAAAATTCAAAAAAAACACCAAATTGTTTTTTTCTAATTTCAATACAGATTAGTCGTACATAGTTAAAATTTCGAATTTTTAAAAATTGTAAATTTTCGTTAAAAAACCCCAAATTTGTACACTATTATAAAACACCCTGTATACGAGAATTCGCTAAATATATTTTCGAAAACCATATAGCATCTTAATGACAATAGATGCGTCTAAAACCTGGTCCAAACTGCATCCCAAAATCGGAGAGAGAAGTGCATTTATTGTTTACAATCCCGCAATTTTGCGGATCCGCGGGATTGATTGCTTTAACCCCGCGGGTTTGCGGGATTGGGTTTTTGGTGCGGGACTGCATTCCCTATTGCGTTCCCTACTACGCATTAAAAGAATACTTATATTATACTAGAATTTATAGGACTAAATTAATAAAAAATATAGGATCTTCTTCCGATGCACTGTAGTGAACGCAATGGGTATCGGCAGCCAGACGGCCTGCACGCTGTTCCAGAGAGCATAATAAAAGATATATCAAAGAGCCAGACGTCTTAAAATACTTTCTCGAAAATGTTGCTAGCTCTTAGACTAAAATGTCCCCTAGCGTCATATTTAGCATCTGTAGCTCTATAATAAAAAACTTCAGAATTTTGTATAAGTGCAGACCTAAAGTATGTATTAGAATGTATTTCAGGAAAATATTTTAACTTCTACAGGGTGGCTCAAAATATCAACTGTGTGGTATCAAATTATTCGTAAAAAATGCTTTTTCCAAATATGCTAATGAGAATGAGCCACCCTCGTTCCATTTGAAAAAATCGAAATATGATTAAAAATCAAATTTGAGCATCTTTTAATAACTGGCCAGGACAAAACACTAAAAACATTAGAAGATCAAATCACATTTTCCAAGGCTCCTTGATTAAAAATTATTGTTTTTAATATAGCCATGGCACTCTAGATTGAAATTTATAAAACAATTTAAGCGAACATTTTTAAGAACAGTTTTAAGCGAAAATGTCAAAAGTTGAGATACGATATGTCATATATTCAGAGTGTCATTTTCTATCGAATAAAATAAAAAAAATAACCGAGGGTGCCATTTCAAAATCAAAAGTTATAGTCATTTCCAGTGAAACAGGAACTGACCGAAAAGAATTGTATACGTCAATCAATCTTAATTTATTTTAAAAAAGTTATAGAAGTGAGCCACTTTTGAGACGCACCCAGTATATTTACTCTATTTAAAGTTTTTATTTTTTTTTAATTTACTTAATATTTATAATCATACGTAATACGTAGAAAGTCAGAACACGTGAAATTGAATTTACCTATAATTATTAAAAAAACATCAAAATTTATACTAAATTATTTTTCTAAAAAAATAAAAGAAATTTTATATCCTTAACAAATACCGTATGATCGAATAAAAAAACGGCGTCCAGTTGGCTTGGAAATGACGATCGATGACATTTCCCATATAATTTTACATTTAAAATGACAGCAATCTTCATTTTTTATTCGATCATACGGTACTAAAAGGTACTAAAATTAAATTTCTGATTTTTTTTTTTCAATAACTATATAGCAGGGTGGGCATGATTTAAATCAAATGATTTAAATCATGATTTAAATCGTGATTTAAATCAAGTGATTTTTTTAATTTTAATCATGTGATTTAAATAAAAAAAAATATTGAAACTTTATAATAAATCAAATGGTGCCCGGTGGCGTAGAGGTACAGGCTCTCGTCTACCAATCTCAAGGTAGTGGGTTCGAATCCCACACCCGGCATTGCATCAGCCGACTATTTTTATTAAAATAAAAATAGTTTGAGTACCTAGGTCGACTCAGTCTTAAATGAGTACTTGGGATTCACAATACTGAGGTAATAATAGGCTGTTGAAGCGTAGTAGCCACATTACCCCTTCCTTGTATACCGAACGGCTCTAGTATGGCAAGCTGTACCTTGCTACTCCCAAGGCGTCAAACGCTATATACGGGAGCTATTATTATTATTATAATAAATCAAAAAATAACTGTAAAAGTTATAAAAATGTGTCCTAGGAAACTCTAAAAAATATTTCTGTTATAAAAATAATAAATCGAAAAATAATTGTAAACGTTATAAAACTATATAAAAATAACTATTCATCAATTTGATTTATCCAAAAAAATCCTTATGGGTTTTTCGCTACTGCACTGCAAGAAAAATCTACAAAATAAAATAGTTATTTTTTGTAAACACTTCTGGCGTTAAACCTAAACGGACGCTGCTTGTCAGAAGTTGTGTTTACAGTAATAAAAATTTGCCTAACAAAGAAAAAAATGCTTAACGTTTCGGAAAGTTTTCTCTTTCCGTCGTCGGAAGCAAAAAATATAAAGAATCAAGAAAAAACTATTTAAAATATTTAAATTGAACTATTCGAGAACACTTTACTTTTTAAAACAGATACGTCTACAAGAAATCGTTGACGCTCTGTTAAAATGACATTAGAGAACAACGGCATACGGTCGAATCGGCCTACAAACACGTAAACGTTTACGTACGCATGCGCATTTCTTATATTTTCTATTTTTTATACACGTAAAAGATTCTTTACGTCTACGTATACGTGCCAGGAGCGGCCGACTCGACCGTATGCCGTTGTTCTCTATTATATTAAGTTAAACTTCAAAATTAACAATTACTACCTGATAATTACTTAATAAGGTAAAACCAAAAAGCCCAAACTTTCTGTATGATTATTTTTAAATTTCACGTATGTTATGTTCACGCAAAGAAGCGATTGCCATACATTACTAACATCTACAGATGCATGAGCAATACATTTATTTTTATTAGATTGAATTAAAAAAACCTCTTTTATTTTTCTTTTAGAGGCTATCGCTTCTTTCATTATAATTTTGGCGTTATTAAAATTTATTCTGCCCTGTGTCCCATGAATGCTGACAAATCTTAGATTTGTGAAAATCTCCCTTTCTTAAATAATCTTTATGTTCTTTAATTCTAACATTTAAGGGTCTAGATGTTTCACCAATGTAAAATTTATCGCATATCTGCAGGGTATTTGGTATATTACATTTTTGTTTGTTGTTCTGTATTCATTGGTTTAGTATGTGATAAAATTGATCTAAGTGTATTTTGTGTTTTGAAAGATGTTTGTATGTTATATTGTTTTCCTATCCTTCTTATTTTTTCCGAAACGCCTCGTATGTATGGAATTGTAAGTTGTATATATTGTGTATTGTTATCTTTTTGTCTATGATTTGGGGTTTGTATTTCGTTTAATGTTTTGTCAATAGACATTTTTTATCAATTTAATTGTTGGACCGATTTTTGAACTAATTTCGTATGTATTCATTAGACTGCTAAACGCAGGGATTTTGAAATTTATGTATAAGTGACAAAAATTCTGTTTCGAATACATATCATTCGCAAAGTCCAATGCAGAACTAGGTTCTTCTTATATAGAGACTATATCTTCATTCCCGAGAATCTACAATCGTTGTCAGAAAATATGTTGTTTTATATTTTTTTTGAAACGGTTGTATGTTTCCAAATTCCTACCGACATTTTGATCTGCAGTAAGTACTTTAGACTTTGACATTAGATAATACATACTAATTTCATTCTCGACTTAACACTATTTCCGAACAATATTGTATTGTTTTATTAGGATAAAAAATTATACTTTTTTTGACGATGCTGTACCTTTGAAGGACCATCGTAAAGCTATTCCGACGTTACAGGGAGGCATAAAAAGTACATTTTTATTCCGAATAGAACATAGAACATACTATTTTTTTTAACATTACAAATATTTTTTTAATCAATTTCAAACATTGCAAATAATATAAACAGTAATCGAGCAACAATTTGTACACTCGTTGAATTTGACACTTAATATTAGTTTAATAATAATTTTTTTGTACTTTTGTGCTTAGGCGTAACAGTGCCTTTTACTTTTATGTCTAGGTAGTAAAATGACAAAAATTAATACTTTTGAGAGGTTTGAAAAAAAAGTCCTTTTGATCTGAAGCGAACGACTTTTTTTGCGGAATATATTGGTGACCGATGTGAAAAAATCACACGCCCCGTAGAATTGTTAATGTTATCTGTATCGGGGTATATATTTAGCCATTTAGGATAGGACTTTAATTGGAAATAAGTCCTAGTCATTTGGAAATCCGATTTAAACATTGTTTGAATTAAAATCAAAAAAATCGGATTTAAATAAAAAAATCTGATTTTTTTAATTTTTTTAAAAAAATCATGATTTTTTCCAACCCTGCTATATAGATATAAATTACATACCCCAAACTGTCATAATCTTGCTCTTCCTCCAAATCTCTTGTATCCAATGGTAGACCTTCTGTTAGATCTAGATAGGATATTCCACCATTTCTCAAGTCCTCTTTCCTATTGATTCTATTTACCAAATCGCGAAGAAAAATACTGGACAAATAGCTCTCCTAAAAAGGAGAGTTTAGAAAAAAACTAAATATGCCAAAAATAAATATTTAACTTACTTTTCCAGTTGGCAAATAAGAAAGTACCCCCGAAAGGGGTACTAATAGAAGAACAAACACGAACTTCATATTTGTCGACCTGCAAAACAAAAATTTAGTAAAGTGATTTTTTTTTAAATTTCGTACAAACTTGAGTTCTTTTTTTTTCAATGTTAATTAAATTTAATATTGTGTGTTTGTAAAAGGTTAACTTTCTTTAATTGATCACAAACGGTTGCTAAAGTGTTAATCCAGAATACGAACTAAAATTCAAAATAAAACCTGCGGGGAGGAAATAGGGAAGCGTCAACAAGAAAATCGATAGAGAAAAACATATGGAAATTTCAAGCTAGGTATAGCTACACAATTTCATTTGTTTAACAAAAATATAGTCATTGTCAAGGTAGAAAATGACCTTTAATTAAAAACGTAACACTTACCCAAAGGGCCGGGAGGGACTAATATGCTATAGATAATTTTTGGATAAAATCAATGTGGCCTTGCGCAATAACGAATAGAGATATGTGTTTTGTTGGCTGGGAGAGGCGTCAGTGCCTGTAGAAAGGTGAGAACATGTCAATTATTCTCTTGTAATGTTAATTACATATCATATATCATTTATATTAAAAGAATATTATAGAAAGCTCATCTTTAATATTTATCTGATCATCCATTAGATAAATGTATGCGTACATAAATATTTTTTCATTAAATATAAAATGATTAATTACATAAACATATAGACTAATCGTTAGGATATAGCATATATCTTCATTATGGAAATGTTATAATCCATGTAAAAATACATAACGAAATTTTTAAATATTTCCCGCAATAGGATCCACAGATGAAGATAAGATTTACGCTTTAAGTAAGCTGTTGTCACTTTTACAATAAGTTGGAGCCATAGACTTAGAATAAAATATAGACTACACTATTTACATTTAAGCGCGGTCCAATATTAATTTTTGTAAACATGTTTACTCCTGGGTGCAGCTGACCTCGGCCGTCTGAGTCTTTCGCCTCCAGCCTATGTTGTCACGTCTAAAATATTATTAATATTTTTTTTGTTGTTCTACACATATATTGAGATATTAAAACTGTATTTTAATAAAGTAGTGTTTAATAGTAGAAAGATGTATTAAATAGTCCCTATACTACTAAATTATAAGTCGGAGACTATTTAAAATGACAAATTCTTTACAATTTGGCAACACCCATCAATCGCCGGGTCGCCTGTTCATTCTTTATTCTCTCGTAGTAGAGCCATAGTAGAGTAAAGCACGTGTCAAAAACCTTGTTGTCACAGTTTCTCCATGGCTATTTTATTGTTTTTATTGGATGTTTGATTTTGTATTTTTTGGATTCGATTTTCTTAGTGTGTAGTGTCGGTTTAGTGTTTATTTTGATTACTTTTATTTAAAAACTATAAAACATGGTTCGTCAGTGCCAAATTTGTAAGAAATTGGACTATTTAAGTCCTGGAACAACATTCCACAGGTAAGTCAAATTTACTATTTTGGCGTCAGTGGCGTTGTAGAAAGGCGCTTATTTAGATAATAATTTAGTAAATTATAAACCCTGGAAAATCTGTATTTTTTATATTTATCATTTACGTAAAGGTTCTTACTAACCTCGTTATTAATATAACGAGTAGATACATTATTAAGTACATAAGAAGTAGACACATTATTTTCTTGGGCATTGGTTAATTTAATGCTTTTTTTTATGAAAAATGTGTTTCTTTTTATTCTAAAACCATCCTTAGAATCTAAAATAACATACAGGAATTCCAGAATGATATTCCATTATGAAACAACAATTTTTAAGGCTTATTATAAACTATAAACAATCGAGAAAGTCGAAAAAATTACAAGCTACCAAACATTTTAAAATACCAAACATTCCTTATTTTTTTTCAAGACTAAAATATTTTACAAACATTACTTTTTCCCTATAGTTTCACATCAGGTATAGAAATAACTACGTTTTTATGATAGGGTCACCATTATGATAACAAAAATGACGAACAATGGTCCAGAAATGTAAACAAGTACATATTTTTTGTAAATATTTTTCTTACCGCTTGCATTTTTGTCCATTATTATTTCACAAATTATACAGGGTTATGTAAACCAGGTAGATATTTCGTTTTTTTTATATTAAACAAAGATAAAATAAATATGCCATTTTAAAATTTATCCAGTACTTACCTAGAGTTTTTTCTTTTTTTTTCTCGACTGTTAATCTATTATTAATTTGTAATACCGTATGATCGAAAAAAACGGCGTCCAGTTGGCTTGGAAAAAACCATCGATACATACTCCATATAATTTTACATATAAAATGACAGCGATCTTCATTTCATAGCCATCGCTGACGCCGTTTTTTTTCGATTATAAGGTATAATTTTCATTTTTTCTTTTATAATGTAATATCACTTAAGTAATATCACATATAATCTGAAGATAGTTTTAGAATTAACCAAAACGTAAATCTTTAATAAAACAATCTGTTATTATTTGCCATATATGTATGTATCCAAGAAAATAATTTACATATTATTATTATATGTTTTACTGTTTTTTATCTTTATTTGAAACTCAGAAATGTTGCATTGGCTTTCTAAAAAAATGAACTTGTAAGTTTTTAAAATGCTTCGTTTCGGAGATACAGGGTGTAGAAGTTTCATTTTTATTTCGATTTTTTTCCAAATAATTTCTGAAGTGACGTCAATATTTGGACGAAAATTGGCGTTTGGGAGTTTTTTGACATGAAAAATTAGATTTAGATGTCAATTTGACTTTTACTAATAGGGGGCGCCACCTACATATTTTTTAAGTTATTTGAAGAGTAATACTTTTTGTCTGTATCTATATAAAACTACTGAGAAAAATTTACATTTCCAACGTTTTTTACTTAATAAGGTCTCTTGTTGACACTCGCCACAAGTATAGTTCTCAAGATATTTGGAAACGAATTAATCAATACATTCTTCATAAATTATTTGGAAAAAAGCGAAATAAAAATGAAATTTCTACACTCTGTATCTCTGAAACGAAGCATTTTAGGACATAAATTTATACTATTTTTTTTACTGATTTTATTTGCAGATTATGCTGCCAAAGTTTCCTGAATACAATTCCGACCACTCTGTATATCAAGATATCCCCCATTACGTACTAGTTTTTCTTAATAATTTTCTATACATTTTCCAACGCCAAGATGTACCAAGCGCATACAAATACATCAAGCTTCAAACAAGCTTGCACGTTGACAGTAATACCTACAGTAATATTGTATTATATTAATGTAATATTTTTGAACCAATGTTCAATATTACTGTAGTAATACTGTTTATACTCATGCCTTTTATATTTGTTTGAATTTGGTGCATATTTCCATTGAATAAAGTATAGTCACCATTACCATTATTATACTTACTCTATAATAAAGACAGTAACGAGTTAAATAAATGTAGTTTTCATTTTATTCACTTCCTAAAAGCTTGCTTTAATGGAACAGATTCCTGTTTTTTCTAATTTACATAATAAGACATCACTTTTACCGGAAAAAAAAATTAAACAATTATAAAGTTTTTTCTCTTTCTGTTCTATTATATCTATAGAATAGATCCTGTTTTGATTAATATTAGAGTTGTAAATGTTTGACTAAAATTAATATTTTATTAAATTAATAATTTATCATCAATTTCAAAAATTAAATAATTTCGATTATTAAAATTTCTTCTATAACACGTACTTTATTATTTTTATCGTTTTTAGACTCTAAGACGTATTTTTTCTAAGTCCTAAACTTTGCTTTATATTAAACTATTTTCTTTATCCTAAATCTTAATAATATAAAAAAGTTTAAATACGATATATTTTTAATTGAATTATAGCTTCATTAAAATTAAAAAAAATACCCGCCTATGATACGGAGAGTGCAGGTGCACTGAAGAAACAAAAGACAGTGTTGCGTTGGGCGGCAGAGCCATAAAATAATTAACTAGAAAGAAGTGTCAACTCTGTGTTAAATCGTGGAAACACGATACGCCACCGAAAGCCTTCGTTGTCGTCTGGAGAACTAATTTTCCAATTGACAGGTTGACATGATAAGGACATGATGGCTTAATTTTCATTTCCGTTTCCGGTTATTCAATGGCGGGTCCTCTTTCAGTTCAAATGTATTTTGTATTTTTACTTTTCATAAATAAAACCAAAAAATTATTTATTCACATATATTTATTTGAAATATGGAACAACGTGGCTAAATAAATATAAAAATATAGAGGATTGTATTGTTTCAATACCAATTAGTTAATTATATGTACTTTTAACGTAAATTAGTTAAGGTATAAGCATGACTTACAGTAATTTGTAAATAAACACACGTGTTCGCAGACTTCAAGGACAGAAAACGGACACACGAACATGAAAACGGGAGCCTTATACAAAACCTGAAAACAGAAAAACAATTTTTTTTATACTAAAATTAACAATGTAAAAATATCAATAGGTATAAAATATAAAAATACTGTTTAAAAAAGCGTCCATTATTCCCAAAGAGGCCTGGCTTATAAATCAAAAAGAAGCAAAAAGAGACTTTTAGTTGGATAACATAATCAGATTATCAGTTCAATAATTTCATTATTGACAATAAATCGCACATACTGGAGATAACTAATGTTGGCTATAGTTAAAAATGATCTTACCTTGCTGTAAATTGCTTCCATTTTCAGAAAAACACCATTTTCTTGCATCTAAAAAAATGTAAAAACAGTGTTTATTTACTACCTATTTTTCATATACATGGGACATACCTACTACTACAGAAACGTCGTTTTCTCCAGGATTCTTCATGTAATATATATTTTATATACTTTATTACCATTATATTTATAAATTTCAGCCGAAATATTAAATTGAACTTCCAAAACGAAACTAAACGGAATGAATTAAAATGGCGTCGAATATTTTCGAATTTGTTCTAGAACAAATCTGAAGTTGTCTCTGAAACTGAAATCTGTCAATTCTAAACATTCTAAACTGTGAAGTTAGACAATAGTTAGACAAAAACAATGCTGTCCTTGTCTAGGCGGCCATACTTGTCGTGAGGAGAATGACAGGAATGACACTAATGACTGTTTCCAATTTTCCTATTTCACTGTCACCCCCCTGGGCAGAGCCGTCAGGAAACGACCGTTACGACGGAGACAGCCTATCTATCGCTTGTGTCGCACTCGTTAGAGCCAAAAACAATAACACAACAATAACAAGACGTTGTCTGTCCGCATCTTCCAGCTA